CTTGCAGATTGCTGGGTGAAGCAGACAAGCAGACGCGCCGTCGTCGTCATGCCGGACCTCGGATACCAATGATGCATACGACAGTTGCCAGGGCCACGGAGGCACGTGCTGGTTGCAGATTCTATCCGGATGTGATGTTCCGCGGCGTCAGGTGTTGCCGAATGCTCAGCATAGGCAGCATTGACTTGGCAGAGGGACCTGAACAAATTTTGTTGCAAAAAGCTCGAATCAGCCAGAAAAGACATGGGCGTCTTAGCAACGGGAAGTTACCGCCTACATTTCGCATGAGGAATCTCACCTGCATGGCAGTGGCGGTGATTTCCTCACAGGTGGACATTGGCTGGCGCGTGCTGATGCAGTCATGGCCTGTGACCCAGCAATATTGGGCAACAAGGTCGAGTAAAGGAGCCGTCAGCCCTAACAATGTAACCACACCCGCACAGGGCGTGCGTGGAGCGCAAGCTGCGAAGAACGCACAGCAGACACCGGAAATTCAAAACACACTTGCGAATCGGTATACACTTCGGTCGTAGATGGTGGGTTGGAAGTTGCCTGACCCATCTGAAAGCCAACACCCAACGGCGATGCTTGCAGGATCGAGACGGCACCAGAACGACTCCAGGACCATTTGTGCTTGTCGGAGCGGTGGATCTGTTCTCAAATGCTTGAACCCTTGAAGCCCTTAGCCCCCTTAGCCGACAAACAGGCACACAGCTCAAGTATGCGTCGGCATTGGCGTGAGTCCATAGCTTCTCGCTTTGCGTGCATGGTCACCCCCTCTCCGCCAGGATTGCAGCGAGCAGTTGAAAGGTCTTTTTGAAGCAAACATCGATCAGTGCTGGGAGATGTGCCAGCGCAAGGCTCGCTGGTTGCGTTTCTGTTTGCTTGCTGAGAATGTAGCCTGCCGATTCCCAAGCCCGCAGCATTAATTCGCAGCCTGTGTGTATTGCCCCCGCCTGGTGCCCAGCCCACAAACCATCGGCAGCCCAGCTCGCATGTGCTCCGCGATTACTTGAGATAGGATGTACCCTCGCAGCCTGGTCGTGGGTTTGTGTCGGCTTTCTGGTTTGTGCATTCACGGAAAAAGTTCCATCACTGTTTGGATGTTTTGCATGACATGTTTGCAAGGGTGAATCATCGTCATGGGGTTCTCTGGCATGTCCTGATCGGAGACCATGACCGAAGAATCGCGACACAGCAGAGACCAGCGCAACTCTGCAGATCAAGACGCCAGTGCCCGTCACGCAGAACTGGCTGGTCTGCAGCCTGCTCAAATTGCTGATGGCGCTGCACTTACAAAGGCAATAAGGTGCAGGCATGTTGTGATCAGATTGCGCAACAGCAAAGCAGTGCAGCTCAAGAAATGCTCAAAAAATGCTAAAGCTGCTATCGCACATGCGGCGCGCATCGGCATGCTTAGTCACTTCGGCCCACTTCGGCCAGCGACCGAGGCGTTACTGAGATGCGAGCTTCCACTCGACCCCGAGAAAGACAAGCAGGACGAATCAGACCGCGAGTATGAGGAAAAGTATAGATCCTAATCGAATGCTGTGCCTTGGACCAGATGCGTTTAGATTCCCACTGGCGTCGCGAGCTTGTCCGGATGGTTTTAGTCCTTTGGAAAGCCGCTTGAAGCGCAAGGAGTTGCTGTCAGTTGCGATGATAGAGCTTGGGTTCTACAGCAAATCCGAAGAGGAACTCTGTTCGACCCGTGCTCTGATTTCAGGACCTCCCGATGAAGGAGAAGGAGGTCAAGGTTGAGAACATGCCTCTACCTCAGAGGACCAGCCGCTTCTGCCATGAGATCCACGCGGGTGCCTTTGGCAGTTTCCAAGAGATCTTCGACACGAAGCCTTAAGACCTGCTGCCCCTGAGGAGGGATGTGGAGCAACCTCAAAACCTGGTTTCACTTCCAACTTAACCTAAAAACCAAGAATATCGCCGGGCATGTCCGAGAGCAAGCCCCGAAAGCCTCCGTTTTTGAGGTTCTGGCTTGCTTTGGTCTGGAGCTTCGGTGCTACGACAGACAGCGCAGGAAGGAAGATAATGAACTCGCGGGGGTCCCAGTCCCATAAGTACCCAAAACGTGGGCCTTCGGGGAGATGTGGCTTTGTGGTGCTTGGAAGCTGTGGTGGGGTTCATGCGCCGAGTTTAGTAATTACAGCATACTGCATCCAAGATGTAGCTGACTTTAGTTCAGTTCAGGGTGCTAGCAGCATTTTTGCCGAGGTTCATCCGGTCGATCCAGCAGGGAATGCCCGTCAAGGTCCGTCCCTCGCTTCTCAGAATTTCTCGCATTAAGCCTTAAATCCTGAAAGGCTGCGTGCTCATCTTGCCTTGGCTTGTTCTGCTGATTCACAGGGAGTGGCCCCACTTGCCGTCCATGGTTGAATTTACAAGGTGTCTTGTTCCGCATTTCGTACTGACAGAAGAATTGGCACTGCAAATGATATGCAAGAAAAGCATACCGCGGCTGCCAAGCACACGTGCACAATCACCCATGCGCGCACAATCACATGCGCACAGCCTCTGCATAGTGGACCTGCATTTGCGAGGAAGGCTGAAAGAAAGACTGATCCATTCCGCAACATGCACCCACTACGTTTGCTGGTGGGCCGGGAATTTTGTAGAGCCAGCGCCGGCAGGAAGAGTTTGACCTCATCGCTGATGACCCCACCATGAGGCTCTCTTCACGCTTGTTACGACCTCCTGAAACCTCGACTGGATGAGCGGCAGAGGATCGAATGCTGTTCGTTGACATTATGGCTACACTTGATGAGTGGCATGCAGGCCGGTGACAAAGACCCCTTTCCCGGAGAAGGACACCGTCTATGAGTATTTTGCGTTCGCTCAGCTGCCACCTCAGATGAAGTCTTGTGGGGTCTAGTTGCAGAATGCCGGTCATTCTGTCTGGACGTTGATTCGGTGCTAAGCCAGTACTTTGCTTGACTCGTGCAAGGATCGACGTTAACCGTGTGTGTGATGTAGAGCTCGCTGCATGCCACTCCTGACGACGATTTGGCTTGGAGCTTTGTTTAAGCGCTCGAGATCAGATGCATGTTCTTGATGGCTCGGTTCCTAGGCCAGCAAGAAAAGGATGCCTAATGTAAGAAGCTTTGGTCCGAACACAGACCTTAAGCACAGGTGGAGTTGCCAAGACGGAGCGATTTACCTGCTGCTAGTTTGATCCGTTTGCCCTGGTGACGACACCTAACACGACTTCAGAAGCAGTACCCTGCCAAAGAGTCGACACGCTGATCACGTACGTTTAGAGGGTTCTCAATGTACCTTGCTTGCATCAGGTCCAACAAGTGGGAGAACTGGACGAAGAAGATCTTTGGCAGCAAGGGTGTTTGATTCCGGCTTGACCAGGAATGCTGGAATGTTGGTGCCTGGGCCTGTGAGACAATTCGGACTCAATTCGTCGATTCGTTATCATCGGCATCTGCAACATGAAGCCGTGGCAAGAGCGCGGCCTTCCTAGCTTTTTCAAGGCCCCGCCTCTGAGGCACACTGGTATAGTACGCCCAGACGATGTCATGATAGCTGTATAACTCTTCAGTGACAGAAACTGTTGTCCATCCCCTTGAGCACCCATGCCAGCTCGACACAAGGATTACTGGCTTCGACATACCAAAAGAAGCCCTAGCCGGACACCCGGTGTGTGGTTGTTGGGTGTGTGTTTCTGGCGAAGCAGGTGTCATTGAGCATAAGTGAAGCTTGTGCTAATTTTGATCTAAGACCGCAATCCCAAGAACTCGAATCCAAATCGTCAGCCCCATATCCTCCCCAAAGCCTGTGTACACGCGGATGATGCTTCGAGCCTTAGGCGGCCATTCCGCTGGATTCCGTTGCCTTCTCGACCCTTTCCATGCAACAGCATTGCACGTTCAATGGTCGTGGTGATATCTCTCCTCATGCGCTTATGTTCTATTCTACATTCCTCACTGTGTTATATGCGAAGATGGTAAGTTCTGGCGATGATGAGAAAGGGGTGATGAACCATCCCCCCCAGTATCATTGAATCCTGGAGTCATGATCTTCGCTGTTCTGGGACCTTGCAGGCGCACCAGGTGATGGTTCCGACTGCAGACACCGTTCGAAGTGCCTTCCTGCTGCAGTCCTTGGCAAGAGACCCGGGCAGTGATCACTCCGGCTTCGAATCCTCCAGGTGTTGTGACAGGGGATCAGATTTCGGATTGGGCCCAAAGCCAAATTGACTCTGGTAGGCTTTACAAAAATGCAGCATGCCCATGTTTCCAAGCCATTTTTGCTGTGAGTCGGCACCTTGCTCCTTGTGCCTCTCATGTCGGCCACAAAACCAGAGCGGAGATTCGACCATAGCCCCCGTACCGAAGCTTCATACAAGCGCCCCGTGCCCTGTACTCGGGATGTGTGCTTCGCAATGCTCGGGTGCACAGTGCCTGATCATGGCCGGTCAGGAGATTTTATGTACCGCCACCGCTGCCGAGGTTGCTTCAGAATATCACATCCTGTACTCCGGCTTGACGGGTACCGGCAAAACTGCCGGCCAGACATGTGTGATCTTGTGAGGAATTCAGGTCCTGAGACCATCAGGTCAGTCACAGCCCACAAATTTGAGCCATGCTGCAGCGGATGTAGACACTAACTGGGTGACCCATGCCAGGTGGTGATTCAACAAGAGCTGCTGAAGCGTGTCTTGTCTTATCTTGCAGGTCTGGGGATGTATGAGCCCCGAGATGCCCGAATGTGATGTCGGCGCTATCGAAGCCTTGAACCTGCGGGTGCTGTCGGGTGCTTCCCAATCTGGAACCCAAAAGCGCAGTACTCAGGGTTTGACAAAGACAAGTACACAGCCTGGACCTCAGATAGATCCAGAAATTCCGAACCTTTGCTTTTTTTCAGTGGCTTTCTGTTTGTGTTCCGGTCACTTCGCAAACGGAGTTGAATCTCAGAGCTGTGACTTGAGCAAAATTTTGACTGTCCGAGTTATTTCCAGCATGGATTTGCTACCTGAGGTGATCTCGTTTGCGTTCAGTGCCCAGACCAACGCGAACCAGACGCAGGAATCGGGAGCCGTGCAACCGACAATGATGCTGACACATGCTGCCTTTTAAAGTTCACTTCGGTGCGCCCTGTGCTGCTATAGGTTGCTGCAGCATTGACTTGCGACGGTGCCGACATGATGTAGGTCACACTCTCTTGAGAGATTTTCGTGTCTGGCCCATGAACAGGACATCATTGATGGCAAGCTTGACAAGCGAAAGAAGGGCACCTATGGACCTCCTTTTGGCAAGAAGTGATGTGCTGAGCATCTACACGCCACCAGCAGCATGGATAGGAGGAGTCCGGGAAATGCTTTCCGGACACTTGCTGTCACAATTTCTACATGTCGACTGTTGTCAAAGTTCCAGTATGTGTTTTGGGATTTTCAGAACGAAACATACCAGACCACAATGTTCTGCTACATTTGTCCAGCACAGCTTTGTCGGAAATGCGGCATGGCTGGTGCAATCTGACATCCATAGACTCGACAATGGGAATATTAACTTGCTGCTGTATTGCATAGACAATTTCCAGCAAGTTCCCGAAAACCGCCTGGTCTGGAACACCGGAGGCTCGCTTCGCAATGCTTCCCTGCGGACATATCGCCCGCTGAACTTGCCATTTCCTGTTTCGGCCAAGGTGCTTGCTGTTCATCGATGATCTGAACATGCCTGCCAAGGTCTCGCAGAGTTTTTAGTTCCGGCTTTGCGTTTAGGGATTGAAGCTCAAGGCGTTGACTCTTTAAACTCCATGGACGATCTTCCGGCTGCTCGAATGCCGTCGCAAAATCACATCACTCGACCCGTCAGAATTCAGAATCAGAAATGCAGTGGACATGTTCCCGAATCAGCTCGCGCCTGCCAGTACCGCAGATTTGCTCAGGTGCTCCATGATGCTGCATTGGTTGCACGACAACCCCATGACAAACGCGAAAGCCCATCTCCACAAACACAGTCATATGGTGCTTCCGCAAGGTTCGGGGCTCAGCTTTGTGTCGCCAGGAGAAGTATGGTGCTCAGCCACCTATTGAGTTGCTCCGCCAGTGGATGGCCGCGGCCTCATAAAGGGGAGCTGCTAATGGTCTTCGTTGCCCCGCGGGGTTGGGATTTTGTAACAATCTAAGCATGGGGCAGGTCCTTCTCGTCCCGAAGCTCGTCGAAGTTCAGTCGAAGCCTTCATTCGAATCGTAACAAGCAGCAACTGGCGCCAGGCTGCCTTCGACAGCTTTTCGTAAAGAGCTGCAGACCCCACCAACATCTAGAATCTAGAGCGGGTGGGCTTGGAGCTAATTCTAGGGCGACCCCCCCCAAGTGCTGAACACTGAAGCCCATGAGCCCAGGACACTCAAGGCTGGTATGCGCTGGTCTCAGACACGAGGGCCAGACGAGCCCTTCATCGTGACAGCCCCGTAAATTCAAATAGGTCATCTTAAATCCGAAACCCTGAGAATGCCTGCACCCCGCCTCCAGTCAACGCTACCGCGATAGCTGTTCGGACGCGAATCCAGCATGTTCGGATGAGGCCGTAAACTTCGGTTTGTCCGGCTCGCTGTTTCTCGCAAGGCCGACAGGCATGAGTTTTCCCGATGTTGTGACTCAAGCATCCGAAACTCATGCAAATGTCTTAACCTTTTTCCAAGCTTGCACATACCACAGCTTCAATCAGCTTCCCCCTTGCATGGGCGTTGTGGCCAACCCCCTGGCACCAGTAGCCGAACAGCCCAGCATCGAACAAGACGATGCCCAGGAGAGAAAGACCGCAGAGTTCCGAAACCTGGTGGACCTGTCAGGGCCCCGAGCTGTTCATTGCAGAGATGTAGGATAAGCTTTGGAAATGCTGGTAAGCTTGAAGGGTTTTGTGCTGTCATGAACTCTGAGCTTCTTGTCTCGGCCCCCAGTCCACTCAGCACACACAATAAGACTCTCCAGCATGTTTACAATCAGGCCTTTCAGCGGCACCGGCACGACGCAATCCTGCTGTCTAGAGCTGCCAGAGTACTGGCCGACGAAGTAAGTTCACGTAGACCTCGGATTGAGTGGCCCGTAACAAGTCGCAGAGAAACATGCGCGGAAAGCGCACCCCTTTGAAGTCCGCACGTTGTGAGCACTGGGCATGAAATCCATGGTGAGCTCAAGGATTTTCATCGGTGCAATGGGCCCGCCGGGTGCTGGACGGTCTTGGACTCGGAAGACATGAATCTGACGAACCTTCCGGAATTCAGAACCCAGAGTTTGGACACTTTTTCGGGTGCCGCCTTTTGCTTCAATGCTGGTCTTGCACTGCATGTGTAAGTAAGTAGTAGTTGGTTACAGGATTGCGAAGGGCCTTGTGCCCACAAAGCAGATCTTCACCCGTGCGTTCGCTGACGTTTACGTACATTGTTTCTACCTCGAAGGTCAGTGAACGATCGAGAGCTGATGGCATGATCGGTATAGTTGTGGTGATGGTTGGTGAGACAAGCATGCGCTTCAGAGGGTTGGCACCGCTTTACTCACTCTTTCATACGGGCTTGCACTGCAGGGCGAACCAGGGTGTCGGGGTGAAGACACGCAGTCTCTCGTGCGAAACAGGAGGCTTCCCTACACCTTCCGCTGCCAGGCCTTTCCTGACTGGCCGGTTTCAGCGGCACTTCAACCTCGTCTTCGCGCAAAGCTGAGCCAATGTCGGGTCTGAGGTTGCGGCTGAGGGCAAGACACGGGGTGGCCTTGGCAGGATTCCTACTCGTGCAACGAAATTCCCATCCGACGCGGTATGTAAAAGCTGGTCGTTACTATCTGAAGTCATACAGACCAACATGAAGTGGGGCCCTCGGGTTCCAGGTGCCCCAAGAGCAAGCAAACAGTTCGAAGTCCAGGCCGAGACGGGCCTTTTGATGCAACATTCGACCTCCTGTGCCAAAGCTAACCCCCCAGCTGAAATCGGAGAAAGCCCCAGCCCTGATCCAAGCCGAGGGTTTTTCAACCGAGACTATCACATCAAGACACATTGACGATCCGTTTGCCAAGGTTACTCCGTTCGAGCAAGAGAGCCTTCAAAGGACATCTTCCGGCTTCCTCTGCGCTGTTGCTTCGAGTAGGGAGATGGTGTTGGGGTACCGGGTGAGCCTAGAGGCAGCCCTCGGCATTCCTGAGTGGTATGATCCCCAAAGGAGAGAGGAAGTTTCTCTGTGAGTCGAGAGGATTTTCCAGACCATCATGCAGTGGTTCTTGGGCCGATTTCCTGGGGCTGTGGCCGGTGTGGCGAACGCAGCCAGGGCCCTCGTCGTTGGGAATCGTCGAAGCAGTGTCGCATCAGAGATATACAGAGCACATGCTTTCAGAAGGCGGTTCAGTGTAATTTTGGTCAGAAGAGATAGAAAAAACTTCTGCCTAGGTGGTGAGATCCACGATACAGCTTTACGAGGACTGCTGCTGAAATGGAACAGACCTCACGAGATCATTCCCTCGCTGGAGCTGTGGGTTCTTACATTTCGGGCTGAAAGCTATGCGACGTAGTTCCGACCGAATGACCGATCAAAGCATATCGAGGATTATACATGAGCTCGGATACTTTTGAAGAGCCCGTGGAAGCTAGCTCGTTCATAGAGTGCGACCGGTTTTAGTTTGCATACACGACATTCACGACATTCTCCGGCAGGACATGTCTGCGGCAATGCTGCCCACCCCGGCAAAGAGATCGGGCCTCAGTGGCCGCGCCTGACTGCCGCGTTAACGACCTGCTGTGAAGCAGCTCCAACCGGAAGTTGATAATCCTTGCAGATCCCACCTAGCATGCAAGCATGGCAACCAGACGGCTGGCGCGATGCTCAGGCCACTACACGTTCAACCTCCGCGATTTGGCGAAGGTGGATCTCGCCCTGTAATTCGTCCCCAGACATCTCGGATTCAGATGCAGCGGCCCGTCCCCAGTGTGGTCTGTGGGCGCCCCTTCCTCAACGTATCTGCTGCGGCCAGGTCCATCTCGGAATTTGCCGATGCCAAAAGAAGTCAATGGAGTCGGCCGATGACCTCGCGAGGTACCGGAGCTTAGGCACTTCAATCCCATGCTCGTGGTGCGCTGGTGCGCGCTCGGGACTTCCCGGAGAATCCTTCAGCTCACACGGGTCCGAAACCTTGAGAAGCCGACGTTGGCCTGCCAGGTGCTGGGCACATGAAGCCCACCGCGTGTTCTTTGATCGTCTCGTCACGAAAGACGATCAGCCGCTGGGTCGGAGTCGGTCGGAGTGTCGCAGCTTTGCATTTCGACGGTTTGAACCCCTTTTTTGTTCGTCGCTCAAGGGCTGGTTCCCCGGGCTTCGATCTAAGCTTTATCGAGGGATGATACTATTGACGATGTTCAGGAGCTGACTCGTTCAGCACGCAGTGTGCAACAGGTTGTTTCGGGTAACTGGGTGTGGCTACAGAATGCAACTTCAAGCTTGCTTACCGTGGCCAGGTAAACGCTCTGTGGCGTGCAGTTGCCATTTATCGGCCATCGGTTGACTGCTAGCTGTGCACGTTTGCACGATGTTGCTTCCTGAGTGCTGAGGACATGGTTCCGGGAGAAGATGAGCGAGATTCTAAAGGAGCGGCTGGAGATCATCTGTCGGTCAACAGCATGTCGGTCATGTCGCTGATGCGGATACTCCGCGAGTGCGGAACGCCCTCGCTATAAGCTCATTCGACTGGCATCGTTGACCTTTGGAGCGCGACGAGCAAGTGTGCCGTGGACAGGAGAACTTCAAGAAGGATTGGAAGAGCTTAGTCAAGGCTGGAGAATGAAAGAGTGAGGATTGCATGGTATGCTAACTACACGCAGTGTTCAATTGTTGTATGCTTTGCTGTGGTCTAAGGCAATCCGGCAAGACTTGTACTTGTAGACTTGAGGACTGTAGAATTGTAGATGCCTCCGTCGACTACGCGATTCATCTTAAGCCTCGAAGGTGGAGCCCCTGATCTGGTGTGACTTCATCGACCCCAGGGCGGGGACCCCGCACAGAAGAGTCACGTATGTCACTGCATATCGCATCATGGCACATCCTTTGCACGGTGAATTGAAGATGGGAGCATGGCATGTTGGTGGTCGAGGGGTGTAAAGCAGAGTCTGGGATACAGGAATCGTAGGTTTTAGGTGAGGTTGTCAGATCATGATCGGGTGATGCCTAGCGAGATGGTCGTGGATGCGTCAGCGATTGACCGTTCTTCACGGATGCAGAAACCACAGCAAAGATAATTTCTCAAGACAGTGTAATACCAGAGCATATTCAACTACACGACATGTCAATATTTGCTTCGTATGCTGCCGTTTTCGAGAACTCGTTATATATCTCATATTCTGTTCGACGCCCCGAAGTGCGAAGAGGCAAGCTTTACGCCGCAGCTGCCGAACAGAGCTCTCGGACCCCGGGAGCCCAAACCGATTCAAAACGCTGAAGCTTTCATCTGGGAGGCTCGTCCGTGTTTAGGAACCACGGCGAGCAAAAGGACATTACGAGGATCTTTACATCAGCTCATTGATGTCAACTAACTGTCCACTATCGTAGGGGCCGTGCAGGCAAGGTTTTTGTTTCCGAGAAAGCTACAAGCTGAGCACTGACGTGAGCCAGGCAAGCCATTACCAGCAAGTCGAGGATCCTGATCAGATCGTCGAGGCGCTCCGAAGCAATCAGCTCGGGGAGCTGAGCCTCGAGGAACGGATCCCGATGCTCAGCCAGAAGGGATGTGGAATGGAATGAACCTGCATTATAATCTAATGATGTAAGGAAAGTAGTAAAAACATATGGTTCGTTTGCGGCGGAGGCTTGGTTTGCGCGTCAAGTAGAGCAGGCATCATCGCCTGCAGCAACTCACAGGTATAGTTGAGCGCCTGCCCTCCCAAGAGCAGAAGATGAGTTGAAGGCCTCAATCGGTCCAAATTTTCTGAGTGCTATAACCGAAACGTGCCTAGCTGAATGTCTCTTCCTTGACTTCTGACGCCTTTCGTGGATATGGGGGCTGTGGCATGCCGCAAGCAGGTAAGTTTCTCTCGAAGCATGGCTTCCACGCTAACGCTACACCAAGAAAAACGACAGAGAGAGACTGAAGAAGGTCAGTGTGGGAGTTTATATGCATGACAGTTGGGTTTTGATGTGCAGACGACAGACAACTGCATCTGATTGGCAGAGTTGCTGCGCCTCCTTCCTCGGATGTCATGCGAACATGTGTTGTTGAGGAGGGTCCGTAGCAGCTCCAGGCTCCTAAGCAACCTCGACGTAGAGGCCGCCCCACAAAAGCGTGGACCTCCGAGGTGTATCAGTCAGCTGTACAGGTGGCGAGGAATCTTGAAGATTTGCGTGTTTTTTTGTATGATCATCTCCACCTTATTCATGGCGACAACGGGTACAACTCGACCTTTCGAGCAGCTTCTGACCCGGAGAGACGATCAAGCTCGACCGCGGCCGAAGGTTGGAGCTTGGGTTCGAAGCAGCGAGTCGAGCTCGAAAGTCTGCCAGCTGGAAAAAAGGCAATTGGAAGAACGCAGGTTCGCGAGCGAGCTAAGCGCCCAAGCTTGGGAACTCCTGCAAAGTTGCAAGCTTGCAAGTTTCACACTTCGGGCGAACGAGCTCGCGAAGCTTCGAGTTCGACATAGAGTTCAGAGGGCTTACGAGCTTCCAGCTTGGGATCAAGATATGCTACTCGTTGGCTTTACAGTCGCAAGAGCGGGAAAACATATCAATGGCAATGCAGTCAGTCAGGCAAGGCCTCGTGTACGGTGACACATGGGCATGGAAAGAACAATTCGTTCCCGAACCAAAGGCGGTTGAAAGTTTGTAAAGGCTCGAAAGTGTTGAGCTTGACAGCTCGAAAGCTTTCAAGTTTGAAAGTTAGGTTCTGCTTGGCGCCGGACGACTGCGCAAAGGAGAAATCCAGGTCCTTGTGCCGACTGCGACCTATGGCCATGGGCCGAGGCGGCCAGCGGCCGCACGGCGCTCCACGGAGCGAGGAGCACCGTGGTGCAGTGCAAAGGCCGATTTTTGCAAATTCACGGGCTTCGAGTCCCGGGCCCTCATTGGGCGAGTTTGGTTTACCAAGTTTACCTCTTACTTGCGTCCCATCCGACAGCTTTTGGTCTCATGTCTGGTCGTGGTCAGATCATATCTCAGACCTGCCCCGTCATGAGGCTATGGCGGTTGATACCATGTCGTAAGCTCGCCCCTTCATTTGGCGACTGCCTCGTTAGACGACATAAGAGGGCGAGTTGGCCGCAAGCCTTCAGACGCCAATCGCTGGGATTCCGGCAGAGTCCGAGGGGAGCGAGGCCATCCTTTGATGCCGGCGCTTTCTCGCGAATGCTACTTGTTTGGAGCTTGTGAGAGTTGTCCTTTACCAGCTCATCTAGATAATAGTGGCGTACGTGACATCGTACGTGAGGCAAGAATATGAGAGTTCTGCTTTCGGCTGGTTTTGGTGTTTCGTGTTCGCTCCCACCCCCAGCCCACCTCTCCGCTTGCCAAAAGCCTCACATTTCCACTCCCCCCCCCACCCAACCCCCCACCGAAGCCTTCACGCAGAGTGTGGGATCGTGGACATGCGAAAGGAGTTTGTATGCGGGGGCCCATCAACCGCCATGCCCGCATGGGAAAACCGGCTTAAGACATGAGGTCAGCATAGATCAGCCGAGCTCGTTGGTTTTCGCCGACAGCCCTTGAGTGCGGAAAAATGCGTGTGGGAAAAGAAGGGAAATCAACCATTGGCCTAACCAACCAGAGCGAAGAGCTTTGCCTTGCCCCGAACAACCCCGAATCTCGGAGCGTCCGACTGGGGTAGGGGGGCCCGATTCCCAATCATGGAGATCAGTCGGATCTGTCGCGTCTTGATCGTCCCTGCATGCCCGAGCGCGGGACGCAAGACTGCTAGATCTGTGGGAGCCTGAACTGGAAGTCTGGAAGTGAACTGTTGCAACTTCCGTGCTCTTTCTGCGTTTCCACGCGGAGGCATCTCGGCATATTGTCACTGTAGCCGGCGATGGAACGAAGCGAAAACACCCTCCAGTTTTTGGAGTTGTGGACGTCTGCGCAGGTGCTTAACAATTTCCTCATGGAGTACAACTCAATGGTCAGAGCCCTAGCAAGACTTGGGGTCTGCACCGGAAGAGGATAGCTACAAGCAGCACTCACCTTGATCACGGGTCATCCTACAGCTCCTGGCACCGCATCTCAGGCCAAGCGAGGCATGGAGTTAGTCCTCTTCATGGCTGCGGCCCAGCACCGCGGCCGTTTGAAAATTTGTTGTTACGGATGGGGCTTGGCTCTCCTACTTCCTACGTTGGCTTAAGATTATAAGTTAGTATCGCAACTAGTTCAAGATACCCCTTTTTCCGGGTGTTGAGATGGAATTTGAATGGCATTCAGAGGGATGCCAACTGTCAGTTGTGGAACATGTGTGCCAATGTGCGCCTGTGTCTCAGGCATGTCAGCCAAGTGGCCAGGACCTCGTTAATTCGTGCTTGACTGCACGTGTAAGTTGACGCATTTGACTGCGAGCCTGCTTGACATCCGAAACGATAGTCAAGTATGCCACGTGTGGATCCAGCACCACATGCGCCTTCTTCAGGTCCCTTGGGAGAATTCGAAGCCTCAGATTTCAGAAGGACTGGGAGCAGAGTCTACAGACTCGATCGGACCCTCATCCAGTTGTCTCCTCCAGCCTCCCACTGCCTTGAGAGAAGGCACATCGTCGTTTTTTTTCCGAACCTCGTTCTCCAACTGCCGTGCATCTGCAAAAACGAACGTGGAAACCAACTTCGGGAATGCTTGCTCGACGTGGAGTAGTTACCACATGGAGCTATACAGTGATGAGACTGACGTAGAAGCTGCAGGTCGACAGGCAGCAGTTGCCGCGACGTGTCCAATGCAAATGTCAGCAACCTCTACTCTACTGCAAGCATGTGATGCTCGCAATGGCAGAGCGTGGAAGGCTTAGGAGGGCTCGGCTTAGCGCTTAATTGACTTAGCAAGGTGCGTGTTCTGAAGACGCCACTGGGAAATGCGTTGCTGGTGATGCTGGCCTGTCCTGTATATCACTTGTAGCATGCTCCGCCTGGGGCAAGCGGATTCCATTACTTGACTAGGGCGACAGATGTACGTCGCAGCCAGACGGTCTCCATCGGACATGAGCATGCCCACGCAAGCCCATAAAACTCGTGAACCATACATGTGAGCATGTCTGATTGGCCGCACATTATATCGCGTTGCAGAACCGTTCCCGCGCTTTGCCAGGTTGGCGTCGGAGGCAGTGGCAGAAAAAGCTTGGCGACGCTTGCAGCCTTCGTTGCCGAGCAGGCAGGAACGCATTCTCACAGGCTTGACACAGTAGTGGCTGCTTGGTGCACAGATCTTTCACGTTTCCTGGTGAGCTTGGAGTTCAAAGGGTGGTGATCGTGTGGAGTGATTGGTTCGGGATGGTTCGGGCTTCAATCTGCTCTATCGCCCGGTGAACCGTCGTCGAGTAGTAGCTACCAGTAGTTGTTTTTTTATCTCATTGAACAGCATCAGCGCTAAACTACGATGCTATGAAAACTCTACTTCTGTCTGGCCTGAAGCATGCAGAAGACAACCACTTCCGTCATCAAGTTCTACATGTACACCTTGTTGAAGGTTCCAAGTTCAAAGGAACACCTGCATCAACAGAAGTGGTTGTCGCATTGACTTGGACGCATCAAGTTCAAGGAGACCTTCCAGATCGAAATTACGAAGAGCTATGGCATGAATGTGATGGCCTCAGTTGGGAAAGGGCTGTTCGTTGTGCAACAGCATGTCTGGCGGAGCGTGTCCAGCCGTGGCCGCTCTCAGCTTTGAGCCTTTAGCCTCGTAACGGCCAAGATCTTAGCGATTAACGCTGCGCCGTTTGCTTCATCTCCGAGCTGGTCCTGAGGACTGGCACGAAGACATCAAGCGTTTGCTGATCCGTTGTGGTGGACAGATGAAGGAGGCCGCATCTTGGGCAGGAGAGACCAGGGTTGGGGTGTGCGGCTCGTCCAGCCGTTGAGTCAACAACGGCAGAACTGATGGGCTTGCCTTTGTCCGTACACATGCCTCAGTCTATCTACCCTATCATCCGAACCATGCAGCCACCAAGCCGGGGGCATGACAGCGGACCTCCATGCAGTCGCCTGCGCTTTGGCTCAAAAGACTTCCTGCGAGGAGGCGCGGGATACTTCTGCCACCAGGAGTCTACAGCTTTCTCTAAAGCTTGGAAAGCTGCCTCGATCATGGAGTCTCGAGAGACGGCCTTCGCCTGGACCTGTGTTGCTTTGCGACTTGCCTACAGACTTGCGATCGCCCAGGTTCAGCGGAGTAACTTTGAAAATTACGCGCGTTCTTGAAGGAGCAAGAATTTCTTTACCATCTCCCCGAACCTCTATGAGATTCAGGTTCGCCAAAACAGCCCAGGCAAGGAATCCTCGTCCTCAAGCTCTTGTGCACTGCAGTTGCACGGCGCGCCGAGATCTTGCAGGTGGGTAACATGAGAAGCAAGTTGCAGGGTCCAGCCAGTGCCGTAATTTCCGGGATGGATGCTGTTAACACTAGTTGAGACTGGCCGGACAGGCGGTGCGGAGTTTTCTTTTGCTGAACTCGCCAAGCCCAGTACTTATGTGCTTGAAGAATCAAAGCCAGATGCTTTTGCTCGCATGTCTAGGCGAACAACCGCTTCCTCCAAAATATTGGTTAGCGGTCTAAATGGGACATCGTCAAGTAGGCGAGCTGAACCGGACTACGACCACAAAGTAGTTCGAAACTCCCGAACACAATCTTTGGGGCTCTGGACTGGTTGCTGTAAATCGGCAAGAATGAATTGTTCATGATGCTTCCATATGGCCCTTGTTTAGCTACTCCGATGCCCGACGTGCCGAATGCACATGACCCCCAGGGCTTTCACAGACCCCAGGGAGGGCCGGGGGCAGAGAGGATGAAGATGGATGAAGCTTACGTCCATCCCAGGAAGATAAGTCAAGAAACAGAATATCGTCCCATACAGGCCATCCGCAAGAACGTCGAGAGAATGCGGATTTTTCCGGCTCGCAGATCGAATTTGCAGGACCTCAGACTAGACCAGGGAGTCTGGCAAGCTCCTGCCGAGATTGATGTCTGATTTGTGGCAACTAGTGACAACCGAGAAGCAATGATAGAACGATCTTTTGGGTGACCCATTTTGTCGGAAGCTGCAGCAAACACGACCTGGTTCACGAATAGTCCTGACAGCGACGCAATCCCAGTCGCTGAATTTCGCCATCCGTGGTGTCTTGCAGACTGGCCCGATCCATTTGCCTAGGAGGATGAGTGGCTTGTCGTGACAGAGACAAAAGCCAAGCGTGTCCGCCTGGCACATGTAGCGGTCTCAGATTGCAGCTGGTTTTGTGGTTCAGCCAGGGTCGACATATCCCTCTTCGGCTGACTTGTTTTGGTCTGGAGATCAGTCTTGGGGTGCACTAGCTCGTTTCTACCCATTGCAGATCTGCAAGACTTGCTGCCGAAGCACCTAACCGCAAGATAAGGCCTACTTCAGTGTGTTGGTGGGCGCGACGCTCCTGATCCTGCTTGTGATTCAAAGAACGTCGATGACCCCTGGCTTGTCGGACATCTACTTTTCGGTTGTTCGTGGGTACATCACAGATGAGGACCTGTGAGCAATTAGCTACGCAAAATGCAACCAAACCAAACACACAAAACGCTCGAAAGCACAAGTGAGGAAAGAATCTCCGTTCGGGTCCGAAGCCTGGAGGTGGCTGGTACTCACGATCTTCGGGATCTCAGTAGTCTATGTTCTGGTGCCAAGCTTGCGCAGACCCTGCACTCACAACTACTGGTATGCTTTTTTGATGGCCATCGGCGGCACTGCCATCATCTACCAGGCCGCCAACCCAGAGGCACCATGGAATTGCAGTGTTTCCACATAGGAGCCTGTCGTTTGGGATCCTTTAGAACTATGTAACTATGTATGAGTGTCATCGCGGGTCCAGCCCTGCTCTGAGGATCCGAATGCATGGTCGCTTCCACAAGCCTCGCTACAGATTACAGGGCTTGTCCGCATCCCTGCCGTTTGTCTCACGAAGAGCATTCCATTGGTGGCTCTCTGCAACGTAGCCATTATCGTGCTGGCCATCGTATTCTCGCCTGCGGCCCTCATTGGCTTGGAGCTCGTCAGTGCCACCTGCGCTGTCATCGCTGCCATTGCACTGCAGGTGTTGCTGAAGCAATCAGCAGAGCGAAGCCTCAACATCAGCAAAATGAGCAGCGATCTCCAAGCTGCACGGGCACTGCTGCAGCTCATCTGCGATGCCGTAGTTGAGCTGGATGAGTCTCTCCGGCTCTCACACCACTCGCCTGAGCTGGCTGCAATCTTGCTGCGGGACGCCAGTCCGGGGAGGCGTAGCCTCCAGGGCACGCGATTTCGAGACTTCGTCGCGACACCAGAGGAAGCAGCCAAAGCGCAGAAGGAACTCCTCGGAGTCTCAAGCCGTTCAGCAGCTTCCGCCTTCCACACACGCCTGGTGGATGCCTACAACAGCAAGTTCCGGACGGAGGTTTTCCATGTGAGATATCAACAGAATGGCAGGACCAGCCATTTGATCGGCCTCCGAGACTTCACGGATCAGACTTCGCTGGCCCGCAACTCTCGCATCGACTCGAATGAGTCAGCCCTGAACGTCAGCTCAGACAAAGTCTCGCTGAGCAGGTCTTCCCCACTACTTCCTCAGTACAACGTCTTGCTGCTTGTTGATCTGAGCAAGAGGGTGGTGGAGGCCGCGTCGATTTCGGCATTTGGCCTGGTGGGCATCTAGGATGCACGAGTCACGTACGCGCGCGTGCGCAGAGCATCCACAAGAGCTCTGCAGGGAGGGCATGCATAGAGACCCACGTAGACGGTCGACGAGCATGATATTGAAAGGCTTGAGCTGGGTACGGGCACATTCCTATCCAGGGAGGTTCATGGCAGCGAAATTACAGGATATCGGGGCCAAATCTGCTGAGTGCCTCGCGCGCATGTTCCTATTCCAGAGAGTGAATAGGTTCGGAGAAGTTTGTCCCGGCCATTTGGGCGAGCTTTATATGACGCGACGGCATGCTCAAGAATTGAAAAGATGAAGCAAGAAGAAGGGACGAATGCAGCAACACTGCCAAAAAAAGTGTCGAAAGAAAGGAGGGGCGGAGTCCTCTACCCTGGCGACAGAAAGGCAGAGATCGAGAGAGAGGTGTTTTGTGTGTGTGTGTGTGCGCGCGCGCGTGTGTGTGTCTGTGTGTGAGTGAGGTATAATAGCGCTTTCTGATATAGCTACGTGATTGGTCGCTTCTTCTAGCACAGTGCAAGCCATCCGAGGCGCTGGCGTTCTTGATCTCTTTCCTCAATTTGGAGCGGAGCTGCTGAACAAGGCGCGCGAGGCTGACGTTGAAGACACGACGCGAAGGTTTTGCTTCGAGCATGTTGCGGTACGATGTGGCCCAGGGCAGACGGACCGCATCGATGGTACTGCGGAGGTCCTCTGTTGTTTTCCAGGGACTCCTAAGTTACTGCTCTGCTGCTCAGGCACCGCTAGCTCAAGCACACTCTCTCAGCAGGACTCGGCAGTCTCTCCGCAAGACTCGGGCAAAATGCTTCCGGTGCTGCCTTCAGTCGTTGGTTTGCCGGACGAGTTGGCTTGATTAGTCAAGAAACAACACCAAAAGCAAAAAGCTGAAACCTACTACTTTGCAACAACATGTCGAACCGGACATGTTTTCTCTTGTGCCTCTACGGTTTATTGCAAAATCCTCGTTGCCGCGCCTTGGATTTGTCTTGGGCACAGGCAGCTCTCTCACGAGGTACTTTTTTTTGGACATGGAGAATCCGGTCCCTCAAGCTGCGTTGCACGTTTTGCGCAGCATGTGTAGGACCTGGGAGCCCAACGACTTTTTAAATTGTTGTGTGCTCTGACTAAGCGGTCCTTCCTGGAGGCAGAACCGCTTGTTTCACCTTTCAATTATTGATAGCCTCCCCCCGGCCTGTTGAGGTTGTACATGGACAGCTTAAAGTTGTCGCGTCAACCGATGCGATTTACAACCCTGTGGCTTTGTGGTCTGTCACACACGGTACCTTCCCAAACAGGCCTTTATCGTCAGGGCCGATCACAACATGAAATCATCAACAAACCTATGGGAAGCCACAGAGGCATGTTGCCCACATGGCAACACCCAAAACAAACATCGAGATCCGAGCTCCGATGTCCGCGGAATGATTTGGCACCTGATGAGTCTGTGCTTAAGTCCACTTTGAATTTTGTCGCGGAGCGCTACGAGGGCCTCACAAAGCGGGCAGCAAACGCGAGAAGAAAAGGACCTGTGGGTTTGTTGCCCTTATGCCACCATATCACTTGCAGACTCGGTTCTGATACTCACTTTCAGATGGCTGTCGCATCCCCTTTTTCAAGAATAGTAATGGATGGCAACAGCGGCAGCAACTGTAACAACCAACTGCACCGTCGACCAGAAGCAAAGCACCACAACCAAAAGCAGCAACCTGCTGCTGCTGCTGCTGCTGCCGCCGCCGCTGCTGCTGCTGCTGCTGGTTGTGGTTGTGGTTGTTGTTCTTGTTGTTCTTCTTGTTCTTCTTGTTCTTATTGTTATTCGTGTTGTTGTTGTTGTTGTAATTGCTGTTGTTGTCGTCGTTGTCGTTGTGGTTGTTGTTGGTGCTGGTGCTAGCGCTGGTTGGGAGAACTTTGCTACCGACTGCTCTTTCCGCAGGTGTGCTTCCTGCTTCCAGACACGCAAATTGCAAACGAGAACTTCGTCGAAGAGGCAGGCTGAGTAGAGAGCTGGGCTCCGACATTAGATGAGTCAACCTGCGCTTGGAGGTGTCGGGACTTCTGAACACCGGAGAAGTCCCAAACCTCTTCAACGCTGAGGACGCCGACCTCAGGGGAGGATCCTGACAATTTGTCTCCCCGACACCCGAACGAACAGTCTTATGCCATCTTTTGAGATTTTAAGCATTGGATGCTTATTCAGTCTATTCTTAACGAGCTACTATTCTGCATCTGCGTCTGGTAGCATCCGATGCAAGCCAGGCAGAGTTTCCATTTCAAGAAGACGGAAGACTGGGACGATATAGCCAGCGCAATGCGATGTCTTCCCACCCCTGTGATGTCTGAGCCTCTCAAGCCCAAAGCCCCAAGGACCTTCGTCTGCATGCGGTCCTGCCTTACAGCTCCAGGACAAGACGCAGATCTTGGAGCTTTGCACCAACGTCGCTGCCAAGGAGGGGCGCCATGGCCCAGCCGAGGCCCGTTTCTTTGGGGATCTTGATGTCAGGGACTTTGGCGAGTTTGAACTTGGGACTTTCCGTCATTAAACCTATGTGCATGCTAGACTCCGGGTGGGTTTCACCACCATAGGGTAATTTTCGCTGTGCAATCGAGATGACTGCACTTCGATTGCAGTCTTACCGCGTCTGCACATGAGGGCATACGCGCAAGCCTTTCATTTCTGAACGGGGTGTTTAGCTCTATGCGCTTGCAATTGTCTGATATTTCTAAACTTTAAGCTTTAGACCTCCGCAAACATAGATGATCAGCCAGCTAGTGCAGCCAGGTGATGGCATTCTTCATTGAGCAGTGCATGAAGAATATGCACATTGTGCGAAGCCAAGTGGGAGAAGGCTCTTCCAGGCCTTCGATGTCATAGGATGTTGTCCTGCCAGGTGCCAGGAAGCTTCCAGAAAACAGGCACTAAGGAGGATTCCGCCGGGATCCGCCGGGTGAATGTCACACCAAACCGGATCACTTGGCCAACCTGGGGGTAGAACTGGCAAAGGCGTTGATGTTTGGTCGGCTTAGAGCCTAAGCATTTCTGATTTTTCCTGACGTTCATAGTCGAGGTCTTGGCTTTCTCTCCCATTGGCGAGAACTTCCGTCGCAGGGTCCGAAGCCTCAGATAGTCACGCCGTGCTACTGAGTTTTGCAGTGTGTGCTCCTGGCATTCTGATGAAAAGAGCCACTTTGAAAGTGCGACTCTTCTGCCGTGATGTTGCCGACAGGTGCGGATGTTCCCTTCGCTGGTCAATTGCTGCACGATCGATTGGTCTCGCCCTTAGGATGCTTAGCAGGTCTGCACTCGACTCGACAAAGCCGGACATATAAGATGTTCAACACTCGCATGCTCGCATGAAGTAGTGTTTTGGGTGGCGGATCCACGTCCGTCTTTCCGATGCCACTGTGAACCAACAGCTCAGCAGGAGCGACAGTGCCGAGAGGTTGCATTTGGAAATCCTTAGGGATGCGATGCGCAGTGCGGAGGCTTTCGTCTTGGGCACCCTCAAGTCCTGAAGCGCTAGCTGTGCCAAAATGAGATATCGACAGCCGCAAAAGCTACAAGGCCTTGAACGCCTGGAGACCTCCAAGTACCATTCCGCAACATCACGACCCCAAGTTCGAAATTGAAGGTTCCACGAGTGGCCTGATGCCGCTCTGCAGAGTGCAGACGACTCAGCCGAAGTTGCTCTGTAGCAGATAGATCTTAGCAGGAGCTACAGTGCAAGGCCAGGCCAGCATGGGCTACATCCTACAGCATGTGGTTTAAGCAGCTCTATACGGTTCTTGGGTACTCCGCCTTCAGTGGGTCAGAGACCCGCATTGACCAGCCTCGAAAAACGTCCACTACCTTCCTTACTGGCATTCTGAGCAGCCTTTGTGTTTTGCGGAGCTGATGTGAGCACAAGTTCTATGTAACGCAGCACAACCTTCCCATCCTATGCAGACAGCGGATTACAGCAGCACAATCAAGCACCGGAACGTCCAGCACGTGGAGGTCAGTTTACTACTGTTATCCCGCGGCCTGAATAGTGCCGCATAGGGCTCATAATTGCCCGCATCCTGCAAAGAGCTCGACCCGTGCATCGAGCGACAGACAGACTCGGAACGCCGGGTCTCTTGGGTGCATTCGACTGAGCGACCACTGACTGAATGCTGCCAGGGGAATAAGGGTAGGGAGTAGGGATTCCTTGGCGACATCCAGGGTCTGTCGAGATAGGATTTGGGCTGTTGTTGCTGTGATTTGAGAGCCAGCGCTGGCAAATGCCGGAACAGTTTCTCAAGTCAAAGGTATGGAAAGAGGCCACGCCGACGTTCTTGAAGCGGCGAAAAGCGCGCGCAGGTGGCGAATCACTTCCTCGGCAAGACTGGCATGCCAGACGACGTTCTGAAAGGCCTCGATCGTTCTTGTCACCCATGATGCAAGGCTTTAGGAGGGGGAAGCAGGGGGTGTGTGGTAACTTGCCTAGGATCGCTTCGAGCAAGAGATGAAAGGATTTGGTCGCTAAGAGTCGCAGATGAACCCATGTCTCCCTGCCCGGAAGGGTCATGACTCAGAGATACTCAGAAGTTTCTGGTGGATTGCTTCCGGAAGTAACGAGGGATGGCGTTCGGGATTCTGTGTTGACAAGGGGCCTCGCTTCATGAGTTATGCACATCTGATAAGCCATTAACATGCTTCATGCTTGGTGCTGGCTTAGCCCTTGACCTCACCAGTTACGCGCAAGACATTCTCATCTCGTCCAGGTGTGGTGAATGTTTGCGTAGCAATGCAGAAGAGTGCCGAAGTCTCAGCATGGGCTTTGCCTGTCGTGTCTTGCTCCGCGAATCGGCGACTCCCACTCTCAAACGTCCCCATCATTAAGGTTTTCACGTTGGCTGAGCGCTTCCAGAAGGAGGTGCAACGCTACTACTACGCGCCGGCCCTATACCTGCAACAGTTTGAAAGTTTCGGCTCGGACTGGAGGCAGGAGATTCCTTTTTCGGCCATCGGGCAGTACGCCAGCACGAGCGAAACCAGGATCCACAGACGAGCTCTTGAGTTGGCAGCTGGTTCGTCGCATCTCAACGTCGTTCAAAGCCCCCGCAAGACCTGTTCGGCCCCCATGTTGCCGAGGTTACCCCGACATCGTACCTGGAGTTGATCAATGCATTCAAAGGCCGGGACACGCGCATGGTACCTCTCCACCTCAGACCTCCAGAGTATGTGCCTGCCAGGTCTTCTGGCCAACAAGCAGGACGAGGTTTCCAAGATCAAGTCCAGGCCCGGTGGCAGTGAATCTGTCATGCACGGGAGTATTGGCAGCGCTTGAACAGTCCTTACACTGATGGTTGCAGTTCCGAAGAGGTTCGAGCGTCGGGGCCACTTTCTGAAGAGGTATGATGTTGGCCTGGACAAGATCATGTCCACCGAGGAGCAAGTCACCACGATGCAGGCCACCGTCTCATGTGCCCCATCGGCTCGCTGTCCAGCCCCACAGCTGAACTTGCTGGGAAAGACTGGCTATATACCCTTAACCCTAAAGCCGCTGTGAGAGCCTAAACCCTAAACTCTAAACCGTATCGATGCCGACACCCACAGGCTGAGCTGGAGGAGCTGAAGCCCACGCTGAAGAAGACAGCGGAAGAAACGGTCTGCCCCCCCGCTCCTTCAGGTCTCAGAGGCCAGTTTCGGCCATTATCCAAGGAGTCGGGCCAGAAAGCGCAAGCCGAATGGAACTTGCTGATCACGGGCTGGGATAGCGCAGTTTACAGCTTATACGAGAGTGCACGGGCATAGACAGACCCGGCCCCGAAACCTTGTGCATTCAGATCTGTCGCTGCCACGAGCCTGCATGCAAAGCATGCACAGTTGACACTTTCATCAGTGGCGGATCCTTGCAATGTAGGAAAGGATCGAAGGGGAATGAAGTAGGTGTGCGGGTACGGCATGGCGGGCTCAGGGTCTTGGAATGAGATATTTTTTCATCGAGGAGCCTTGGGTACTGGAGACTTAGCTGCTCTGTTGCATTCCGGATGTTTCATCCGGTCAGGGTTTTAGTCGCTCCTTGGCCTCGCAGAGCCGATGGACAGAATCTCCCGGTCGGACACCCTGCGATCCGGACTTCTAGCCCCTTGCCTGGAACCTCGAAAGGCGCTGAGTTCGGTGTAGGGACATAGGCTGAAGCTTCTTGCTAGGGGCTTCTTGGACCCAAACCCCGCACTCTCCAAACTTGAGGAGCTGGGATTCGGGATCTGCCACCCTTCCGCGCTTTTGCAGGCATGCTCCATCCCATCTTTAGCAGCTCTATCGTGGACGATATCTGGTTTTACAACTGCGATACGACCGCTGCACTTCGCTTATCTCCTGCATCACCAAGCAAGCACGCTGAACACTGATAGAGTCACAGATAGAGTCCAACGTCAGCAAGCCTGTCAAACCTTCTTTCATTAGAATTCGTGCGAAAGTTTAGCTGAATCTGCGAAATTCGTCCAGCACCCTTTGAAGTTCATGTCAACCCGAAGCACACGTGATGCGTCTCTCTCTGTGGCCGAAAGCATTCATCTTTGTCTCCGCCTGCTACTGGTCCTACTGCACAGGTGAAGGCATCAGTACGGACTCGCCTTGCCTTGGGGGCGTCGTTGCTGCTCGGCGCGGCCTTCTTCGCTGCCTTGTATGAAGGAGGCCATGTCGGGAGCTGCTTGCTGTCAGCTTCTACTGGGTCTTTGGTGATTTTGTTTGCGTGCGTGTGCGTGTGCGTGTGCGTGTGCGTGTGTGTGTGTGTGTGGGTTTAGTGAAGGCAGCCAGGCCAAAGAAGTACTGTTCTTTAGATGCGTGTGCGTGTCAATCCAAGAGCAACGGCCCCAAAGAGTGAGGCAACTTGTACGGCAACTTTGTGGTTGTCGTGTTGCGGTTCTTTACTGTTGGATATATTCAGGCTGCAGGACATCAGCATGCTTCGCGCTCTACGCTGCGCCAGCGTCGGGTTCTCTAGTGGCCGCACCCTGACACAGGCCCACACATGCCCGCTTCAGCTGCCATCTGTACTCCATCTAATTGGGCCCGGTTGCCTCAACATACCCGAATAGTTGAATAGCCCCCATCCGCACAACCTCGGAGACTGTGTGGCCCGATTTGCGCCGAACGGTGCTTGCAGGTGTCATCTCGACACGGCGATTGTACAGTGTACTGGGCAGCCTGCTCGGCTCCTTGATGCAGGGTTTCGACAGAACAGTGGATGCACGGCAACAACATAAGTTGCCTTTGATTGCTGTCCTCCTTGCACACGAAGGCTTGGTTCCAGGCTCCCTGCATCTTCGCAGGAGCAAGAGGCCCAGACATCGCACTGATCACTGCGTTCACAGCCTGCTGTCGATTTGCTGCCTTGGCCATACACACCAACATGTTGCTTCAGCCTCCAGGCTCAAACTGGGCAGGGTCGAACATCGCCCCTCCCCCGTCACGTCTTGCCTACGAAATTTGCACCACGATGCCGATGCTTCTTGCGGTTTTGACCGCACTGCCTTGGGCGACATTCGGCTACGAGACATGGCACCTTGTTGATGTTGCACAGGTGGTTTGCCCTGCGCCAACAAGCAGCAGCTTGCCTTTTCAGGAAAAGCGTGTCAGAGATATTTATATTTATGTTTGTATTTATATTTATTTATATGCACATGCACTTTTACACGTAAGTTAAAACGTGATCTGTATATGTTATGCTAGTATATGCTACTATCTACAGAATATTTGTATATAGGTAGATAGATCGATAGATAGATATAGATACAAAAATAAATATATAGGCATAGGTATAGCTATGGATTTGCCCCCCTGCAATTGTCTTGAGTTGTCGAGGCAACCCAGATGCTCCAGCTTTCCCAGAGTACAACCTCGGCATCAACTATACGAGCGCCATGGATGTCAGTGCCCCGCACATCGTCACCTTCATCCGGTCGAGCCAGCAGCCTGTCACAGTCGTTTTCAAGATTGAGGACTTTCGGCACGAAGTGTCACTGAGCGCCCACGAGGGCCCACCACATCACATCAATGCAATTCCTCGTGCGAGGACAGCACCGGGGCGGTCGTGGTGCCGGAGACGACAGCGACTTGGCTCCATGTCCGCCGAATCCATTTAAGTTTTTGGCTGAAGCCAGTTGTGCCCGAGATTGCTGGAGCCACTCACTCCACACAGCGCATTAAAAATGACACCTGCAAGATTCCCCGCTCTAGCATACTTCTGCATGTGCCATAGGGCTTGAGAGAGCTCTATATTTCGGATTGGTGCAATAAAACGGGCATTTGGCCAGTCCAGCCAGCCGACCCGGATGCATCTTTGACCACCCCAGCCCCAGCCAAACGAGCCCGACAGTGTTTGATCCGCAAACAACTGGTGCAGGAAGAGTTAAGTGGGAGGGAGGCAAGGGAAGGCAGGGAACGGGAGGGAAGGGAACGGGAGGGAGCAACAGACACATGCAAAGTCATAACCCCAAACTGGACGATACGATGGAAGATGGAACTGACTCAATGAAGCCCGGGGCCTGGTGTCACAGGTGGACTTGCAGGCCCTGAGCAGCACCGTTCCCGACTCATGCAGCTGCCTCCTGGCTGACCATGGCCTTTCTTGGGGCTTCGTGTGTTTGCGGCTGTTCTGGAATAGCTGGTATGCGCAAGCGGCATTTGTCCAACTGGGCTCTGTGCCCGTTTTTTTCGTAAGTCCAAACCATCTATGCTTCCTCAAGCCTGGATTCCGTCAAGGGCCGTTACTTCTTTTGCAAACGTTCGAAATGATCATTGCTTGTTTCGACTGCACATACATGCGTCGCAGCGAGAAGCACTAAAGCCAATCTATTTGATAAGGCCCGTTTGTCTCCCAGTCATACTGTAGTAATAGTACGAGAACACCTGTTTGTTTCTTGGCTGTATCTCTCTCTCTCTCTCTCTCTCTCTGTCGCTCTCCCTCTCGCTCTTTGTCTAGGGCTCTTTGTCTAGGGCCTAAGAGTTCGGTCAAGGATTCCGCCGCAAGGGTTCCCCCCCTATTAGGGTTGTAGGGGAAGTCCGTGCAACAAGACAGGCTGTTTTTCTTTCGCAAGGCGAGGGGCAGGGGGAACGGCCCACCACCGCGATCCAGGCGCCTTTCTCTTTCTCAGTCTCGCTCTCTCTGTCTCTCTCTTTCTCCCTTGTTTCTTTCTGCGAAGCAAGAACCACTATTTCAGGACCTTGCCCGTCGCTGGCACAGTAGTATTGGACATAGTTTCCACAATGTGTCTTATGCACAGGTAGATCGACATCTCCCCTTTAGGATCGGATGGTTGTGGACGAGCACTGATGCATCCTGAATTCCCCCGGCTGATGAAATCAAAGGTTGCTGAAAGGACATCGCACATGAAGTCCAAAGTTTGAAGACCGCCGTCCAGCAAACAAATTTTCTGCCCTCATCTGCTCTGAATGATGCGCCGGTGCCACTAGTGCGTATTGTTCGTTGAAGTTGTGTGCCCAGGTACCAGTCCAACGATCCCGCCTGAAGTTCAAGGCACCTACGGGCAGAAGCTTTGCTGCATAGCAGGGTTTTGTCATTGTAGCATCTGCTTCTATGTAAGGTTCGCGCAGATTGAGGGGACGAAACCATTCGAAGCAAAGGTTGCCTGCATAAGCTGACTCGAGGGCATTACTGCTGCTTGTTGTGCCTTGGTGGGTCCTTTGATGCAAAACCTTTGACAGGTATTTGCAGCAGCCAAGCCCTGTAAGACAGCTAACAAACCAAGCAAGGAACTATGGAAGGCAATGCCAAGCTTGGGATAATCCAAATTGTGACGAGTGGTGGGGCAACGTGTCCGTCGGCGGTTGGTGCTGCCGCCCATGGTGCCTTGCCACCAACCAACCGTCGGTTTCCACCATGATAGAGGCAGATCTAGTGTCAGAGGTTGGGAAGTGTAAGGCATCTGCAGTCTTGGGCACGGTAGCTCGTTTCAGTCCGTTTGCATCGCAGCAGAGAACTTGCGATCATTGAGGTGCTATGCCAGCGTAGACTGTCCTGATGCCTACTCCAGCTCGTTATTGCCCGGCCAGTTCTTCAGCTATGCTGCGTGCAACACGTATAGCCCAGTTTCTCCATGCACATGGGAGGAAGTGCGGGAGCAAAATGATCCTTGCAAGTGCAGGAACTCCGGCTCTGTGTTCAGCGACGATATGAAAGCCAAGTTTGACCTCACTTACGGCTCGACGTGTGGGAGCTGGGATGTCCAGAACTGTGCTCAGAACTACCGTCCGGATCAGGTCGACACCTGGTGCTGTGCGAGTTGGTGCTATGTGGACAAGGAGTGCCCAAGTGCCATTCAATCTTTGAACGCCGGGATGGAAGGCATCTTGTTTTGGTCCGAAAACGTGTGTGAGGACGATGCTGCCCTTGTGGCACAGTGCCCGTACAAGCCGCAGCCAAATGTTTCTGCGGATGACACAAGCTGCGATTGTCTGAACATTACCATGCCTGCCAGCATCATTGAAAGTTTGGGGCTGAATGTGAGCGACTACGCAGACTACGGCCAGCAATGTGGTCCACATGATGCTTGGAACTGCGAGGTCTTTTACCCGAATGCCCAACATGACATGTGGTGTTGCACGTCTTGGTGCTGGGTAGACCCAACTTGTCCCACGAGCCGTGCATCAACAGTCTGGCCGGGCCGGTTTTGGAGCTCAGAGAGGTGTGACCTCGTCCCAGACGTCATCTCCGGCTGCAAGTACAACTTAGATGCTTGCGCGTGTCGAGGTCAATTACCCAGTGGGTCGCTTCCGGACAGCTTCGCTGCCAACTATGGCAGCTCATGCAGCGATTGGGACAGCACCAATTGCTACCAAGTGTGGGGTTCTGATCCAGATTCCGGCTGGAACACTTCGAGCGATCATGAATGGTGCTGCGATTCCTGGTGCTACGTGAATTTGGAGTGCCCTATTGCAAAAAAGTCGTGGCTAGGTATCGGCTACTATTTCAGCTATGAGACTTGTGACGACCCTCCCGCCACATACAACGAGTCCGCCGACACTTGTGATGCTACCCGTCGACTGGGAGAGTCCAAAGCAGGCCGGCAGCTTTCCGGTCGACGCCGTGGAGGCTCCTTCTCCAGCTCGAGGCGCTCCTTCTTCTCCTCGAGTCCGCGGCGTCGGTCCCCCTCCGCTACCGCCACGACCCCACGCCGCCGGTCAAGCTCTGCGCCCAGCTTCTGGAGCCCAAGGAGACGAGCTCCCATTTCGCCCCGCCGTCGCGACGTGCGCCGTCGTGCACCCCCGCCCCCGGTCCCAACACCTTTGAGCACCCGGCGCCGCACCACCAGCATGGACGGAAACGTCTACACTGCAGGATCAGGGGTACCCTACGGCTACAACAGCCGCCCCATGCTCATGAACAATTACGGGGGCACCATGCCCTATCAAACTCCCTACGGCTATTCAGGCTACAACGCGTACCCTCCTAATAACAATGCCAATGTTGCCATGTATGCAGCAGGGGGCTTTGTGGTCGGTGCTGGGGCAATGTACGCTTACAACAGCATGTACGGTGATGCCTACAACTATGACAGCTTCAACCGCCGTCGCTTCTACGACTTCCGCAACCCGGACTACTGCATTGTCAACGCGCAGGGCAGTCGGTACGGGGATTTCATGGAATGCCAGCAGTGCTTCCACCTGTACGGCCCCAGCTATTGCCCGTCCGCTCGCTCATGCAGGACGGCAGCCGGCTGCAGATACACCACGCGAGAAAGCAGCTTGGCTCTTGACAGTTGGGTGGATGAGGTTCTTGCTGCTAGGCTTGCTACTATCACATTGACAAAGCCGAGGTTTCAACAGGGATGACTTGGCAGCGACAGGCTTCATTCCGAAAGACTTCGTCCCACCCCTAAAGGTGACCTTCACGCAGATCTGGGGCGATGACATCGATCCGGACCCGATTACTGGCATCTGCCCCCCGACCACGAGAAGTCAGGCAGAGCTTATCGCGACGTTCAACAAGACCATGTCTTTCAAACCAGATTTGCTTCTTGGCTCAGATGAAACCAGCTCCTGAATGCGGTTGCTTACATGCATGCAGGGCATGCGTGGCATTGATTCCACAAATATACACATGAATGCACGCACGCATGCGCATGCATACATACATACATACATACAAACATACATAAATACATATACATATACATACATACATACATACATACATACATACATACATACGTACGCACGTACGTACATACATACATACATACATACATCCACACACACATACATGCATGCATGCATGCATACATACATGACAGACAGGCAGGCAGGCAGACAGACAGACAGACAGACAGACAGACATGACACACATACATGACATACATGCATGACATACATGCATGCATGCATGTATACATACATACATACATACATACCTACATACCTACACACCTACATACACACATACTACATACTACCTACATACATACGTACATACATACATACATACATGCTACAAACTACATACAACATACATACATGACATACATGCATGACATACTTACACGACATACATACATACATACATACATACATACATACATACATGCACTTGTGCCTACGACGCATGCACACATAAATGTGCATGCACATACATACTCATGCATGCTGCACGCACATGCATGCCTACATACATGCAGATATATCTATATCTATATATATATATATGTATATATACATACACATACATACATACATGCATACATACATACATACATACATACACATGCATTTATATATATATATATTTGCATATGTGGACAGCCAGCCAGACAGACAGACAGACAGAGAGAGACAGACAGACAGACAGACAGACAGACAGACAGACAGACAGACAGACAGACAGACAGACGCAGACAGACGCAGAC